CCTATTATCCCCCATAACCAACAAACCACCGTAAGCGCCACATGGGAAAGATGCAACTCACCTCTTGAACCTAGATTCTCACAGACTTCTAATGAAGAGGTGAATTTTTTAATTAGATATATTTCAAAAAGATATATTTTCACAAGACGATAAAAAAATATTTGCACCCACCAAATAAAGTGCGAAAGAAATCAAATGGTTTCTCTTCTTGCATGTTGACTGATGCAAAAGACTTTCTCATTCCTAGCAGTGGGTTTTGCATTTTCCCATTTGATACATCTGCAAAACCATATCATCTATTAAAATACTAAATAGATAATAAAAATGACTAAATTATGCATTGTAAATCCCTAAATAAATTATATAAATATTCTCTAGGTATCTTCCATTCAAATTTTCTAGCTAGAATTAATTCCTTTAAATTTGTGTATGTGAAAAATACTTTTTAAATAGTAACACTTCCATAAAAAACATGAAACATAAGTAAATAAATAATACAAATAAGGAATCTTTCCACCTTCACCCTTCCATATAAAACGTAAGTAAATAAATAATACAAATAAGGAAAAAGAATAGACAAGAAAGTTTCGGCCGCAGCTTCTGCATACCTTTGCAAGCAATTCATTAGAGATGTGTTGGAAAGTCTACCCCTATATAATTAATTATAGGATTCTTTTCTTGTAGCAAAGAACGTGTATATATAGGTTTAAGTTATTCAATAGAAAAACATTCATTCTTCACATGGTATTAGAATTTTAAGAAAAAAATACCTTCTTTTTTTGCAAATCCTAATCAGTGTTTATCCCGGAAGTAAAATAAACTCTTAAGGGAGCCAACTTTCATAGCGGGTCATCACCATCACAACCGGCCTTCATAGCTGGAAAACACGGACCATTACCATGCTCAAGATGCCCTCCAGCCACTCACAATAGCCCCTTTCGTGCAACTTCTCCAGCCATGCAGCCACCTGCTGGCCTGCTCTAGTCACAACCTGCTCCAGCCATGCCTACATCAGCTGCCACTGCTCCCTGCTCAAGCCACTACCCACGCACCCAGAACAGTCGCACACCAGCAAAGCTACACAGAACAAGGATCCAGCTGGTGTTGCTGCTCCCTGCTCCAGTAGCTGCCCCCCTAGCCACTCGCTGCTCCCTATCCTACGGGCACACAGCCCAGCAAACCAGCTATGCACAGTTTTGCTTCTACAAAATCGCCCTTCATTGCCTAGATTTTTTCAACCATATCTGAGTTACGTCCCAAGCCACCAGCGTG